GCCAAACTTGGCGCATTGGACGATTACAAGTGGCGCTTCAGTCGGTTCCGAGCAACATTGCCAGATTTGGCTTCATTGCAATTATGAATATTACATAGGAAATTAATTTTTTACAGTGTGTCTTGGCAAGTGTTTTTCTTACACAATTCGGTGCAATCGACCTGTTGACGTTTTTTTTTCTTTTGTTTTGTTTGCTTGTACGTTACACGATGCATTCGTGTTCATGTACACCACTGATGTCATATAGAACAATTTTATACCGGTAGCTACACTACAACCGCATTTTTCATTGCTTGTTCTGTGGCAAATCTGAATTTTCGTCTTATAAATTGAAATACCTAATTAAGGGGTGGCCGAAATTTTTTTCCGCCCCGGGCTGCTAACACTCACGGTACGCCACTGCGCATCTGAACTCGTCTATCAAAAACTTGGCGTATGGTATGCAAAAGGTTGGCACCTCTGCTGTAAACGCTCATGCTATTGTGAATCTTTTGTCGATGTATACTAAATCGATAATGCGGTAAACAATAATGTAACTTTAAACATTCCTTTTTTCTTTTATAAGAGGAGGCTGTTACAGTTTTAGATCCTAGGATTGCAAAGTTGTAGAGCAGAGCAAATAAGTATATCAAAAACAGTACTAACTAGAACACATGAAATTTGACATGTAGATGCATTTCTGCATTACTCGTATGCAATGTGGGAATAGTTTAGCTTTTCCTTTAGAACATTACATGTAAAAAAATGTTTGATAGATTTTAAAACTTTGCGTAATTTATTAAAACCTAATACTTTTTAAACATTCAATGCGGATACCTCGATCCCGCATTGATCGTTTAAAAACATTAGGTAGTCGCGCGGATCTGTCACCACTGATCTAGAATGATTTGAGATTCCAGATCACTTCAATGCACTATATTAAATCTTAAAGATCTGATATATTAGTGATAAATCAACTACCATCAAGGGCCAGATGGCTGAGCGGTCAAGATGACAGCTTCCCGCTCTGGGTAACCCGAGTTCGAATCCAGACGGTTCAAGTAATCCCCGGGAATTCTTCGGGGAGTGGTCCGTCCAGAGAGATATGGCCCGTCTCTCACCACCCAGTCGCCCCATTGTTGGCCTGGCCGAACCCATAATGGACTTCCTAAAAAGAGACCCTCCTATTGCTCACGGGGCGGAAAGAGTTTTAAAAAAATCAAAAATAGAATCATTTAAGACAATGTTTCTCAATGGGGGCGATGTCGCCCCCATGTGGGTATTTTTCCATGTGGAGGGGGCGATTAGTAACAATTTATATTTTGGGATCGAAAAACAATTTTCTGGGCGATATAGTAAAACATTATATTAAGAATAATTAGATGTTTTATTCTTTATATCGTACAATAATTAAACAAATAACATTATACTAGTCACTAGTGTATTCAATGCAGTACGAATTTGGCGTTAGCCTTGGCCCTGGGCATCGGAATTTTGAAGTGAAGGGGGCGATACTACGTAACGGTTTTAGTGAAGGGGCGACGATTCGTTAGAAGTTGAGAAACTGATTTAAGATTTCAAGAGAGCATTCACAAATTACGTAAAGCCCTTTTCAACTACCATTTTACTCCTGAAATGCTGAGTAACTTTGTTTCACATACCCGCCCCAAAATCGGGGTATATGCAATAGCGCATATTGTCGAGTAACTTAATTGCAGCAAGGAATAGTACGCAACACAAGGAACTGAATATTACATCATTTTGTTAATTGCATGTATAAAGTGGAAAGCAGTGACGTAAATAGTAGTTTTTTACGCATCGCTTCAGAAACAGAAACGAATCATTATGTTGCTGATGGGTTGAAACCTTAGCATTTCATAAGATTTTTGTAAATACCCCACCCTTTGTAACACTAAAGATTACGTGTATACTTCTACTCACGCATATTTGCATTACGTAATTTATGGACAGTCTGTAATTAAAGTATCACAAATGCATTCTGATCTTTATAAAATTTTCAGCAAACCAATGGTTATAAGTTTAATTCTTATTCATTATACTTTTACACTTCTCTAATTCTAATACAGTAGAGCGTCGATTATCCGAATCAATTGGGGACTGGGGTGTTTCGGAAGATCGATGTTTCGGGTAACCGAATCGACCAGGCGCATGACTCGCCATCTTTGATAAAGTAATCCATTGTTTTAGTATGTTCGCGAAAGAGGTGCCATCAGTAAACTATTGTTTTCATATTCTTATGGAGTTAAAAAGTTTATTCATTCATTTAATTTATTTTTACGGATCGTTTTAAGCCTTGAAATTGATGTTATAGATATTGTATCGTCAACGTCACTTTCTGGTGCGCCTATAGCTCGGGCCTTCCCTGTGTATACTTTATATAAAACTAGTCATTTATGTTCGGCGTTGCTCGGGATTTTATGGGAGTGGAAGTGAACAAACTTTTTTATATTATAGAATATAGATTATATACAAATAGGGTCCGACTTAATGACGATTTTACTCGTTACTAATAACGATTTACAATTTTTTTTTTTTAAATAAAACTCATCCCTACCCTCAAAATTAAGATTTTTGCCATTCTATAATAGTTAAAGATATAAAAAGTTTTTAAAATACAATATAACAGATGGTGCCACCAAATGTTGCCGGGAAAGTTAATCAACTCGTCGCTAGTTTATTTATTTATTTATTTATTTTTGATAATTAAGGGAGTCAAAATATTGTCTTTCCCCTGTACGTTATACTTTTCCTGTTAGCAATAGAGTAATGCCGATCGTTACAAATTTTTTTTTTTAAATCGCGGTCTCATACGTGCACACACTTCTGTAAAACAATGTGCATAAATCCATTACAATATGCAATATATAATATCTATTTATAAAATAAGAAATATTTCCTCTCCCTGTAAATTCCCTCTTTCTTCGAAATATCCTTTCCGAAAGGGATTTTTCCCTAGGATTCAGGGAAGATATCGACCGACGATATCGCTTTGAATCAGGCATGCGCATTAATCGTATCGTGTTTGTTTTGACGGATCGGTCGACATGCGGGTTGGAAACTTGCTCGAGAAGATCAGAAATTTCGATGCTTATCCGAAAACTTTGGAAGATTTTCGCATCAAGACGTTCGGAGGAGCCGCAGGTAAAGTCAACGTAAAAGAATTTGAGAGAAAAATCGAAATTACACGACGTGAATTCCTCGTTGATACCGCCTCCATTCCCGGATGCGTTTGCTTAAAGAAATACAAGTTGACCCCCCTATAACACTGTTGATAATTCCGTTTTATATGAATTCCGTGTTATACGAGTCACTTAGATTTTACAAATACGTGAGCCGTTCACAGCCCGGCACACGTATTTGTAAAATCTAAGTGACTCGTACAAGACGGAATTCATATAAAACGGAATTATCAACAGTGTTATAGGGGGTCAACTGGTACTAAAAAAAAAAAATATTAATAAATGTTATCACGCGATTTAAAAAGCCCCGATTCAGCGCCACGTGTAATTATTTGCTCCTCGATGGATGTTGTTAGCTTTATATTTAATAATCTGATCTAAACAAGCGTTGGTTGAACGGTAGATCCACGCTTTTACGAATTTTTCTTGGGAAACAGAGATGTAACTAACGGGGAGGGGCACGTGCCACTGAAGAGCCCCAATTTTTTTGGGGTTCTTCCGTGGAATTAGAAGCCTGCAGAGTTTATTTATAACCAACGTGGAATTGGCTGCCGGGTGTGAGGTTTGACCTGGGTGCCAAAACTGTGTTGGTGTGACCCCACTAGGAAACTTATAAATGGAGCTCAGATTTCTCTTAGATTCAGTGTTGTAACGAGTTCCAATCTCGAAAATGGACGTTGGGTTATATTGATTATATAAGCTGACGTTTGTTTCTGGGAACCCGACTTGGGTGTCTTGTCGACGTTGACTTAGTCGTAGTAGAAAGTTTGGTCCGAGTATAGTTTTAAGAATGGTTAATTACCATCTTCATCAGATGATGATGATGATGATATGTTTAGCTGCAGTCATAACACTTTACCATACCTCATTGCATCCTGGGCCGTGTTCAGTAATACAGAATTCTTGCTAAGTCTAGTTATGCTGCAATGTTGAACTTTTTTCTAGCTACTGCTTGACTCCTCCCACTGCTAGAATTCTAGCTAGTTCAGTCAGCTTCTTGTATTTACGCTATCTTCTACTAGTGATGTCATTGTTTTTGTCTCATACAATTTGCAAGATGGCTGCTCGTGTTGGACTAAACGTATTTTATTATAACAATTACAATGTTATTCTCCCATTCAAATCATTAACTCATTCTAAAATGACTTTGAAATGTAAAATTATTGTACGTCGGTATAACAGATTCCGAATACATTTTAATGGAAGACAACGGTCCATTTCGTTGATTGCAATTAATAATTGCTTCATTAATTTCATCATGATCTGATGCAGCTTCCATTTGAATAATTGTATTGTTTACTTCATCCTCTTTGACCAGTTCATTTACAACAATTGTTGTGATCATAGTTTTAATTTTGTCCACCATTTTCCCGTTGTCTAACTAAGAATAATCGTTCCACGATGCTCAAAACATTCTTAGCTCCATCCACTAAGCCACTCAGAATTTTAACTTAGATGTTCCGCATTACTGAACACAGCTCTGAACTGTCCTTGACTAGTTCTATATTCTCAGATCAGCATTGAATATCTCAAGAGCATTCTCTTCAATGGTTCTTGCCAATTGACATTGAAAATATTGTTACTCCTCATCCATATATTCATCTTATTCCATTGCTTTCTATAATTCCTATTATTAATGATTTCTGATGTATAGTATGTAATTTATATTCAAATATGTGGCATGAGGCAGCGCTACTGTTTTGTCAATGGCCACATCCACAGGTAATAATAGAGCATGTTGTGTCGCTGTTTATTTAAATTTTTATTTTATGGCTTTTAAATATTTTAAAGTTTTGAATGGATAAATGGATTTAAATTCTGAATGAATAGATTATCTCATTTCTGTGATGTTAGTAACATTAANTTGTTTTAGTTTTTCACATTATTTAGTTTTGTTTTATTTATTGTTTTATATTTTTTGTGTGCTCTATTTCTTGTGAACGAGGGGGCCCGGTAAGAAGAAAATGTCTAGGGCCCCAAAGTGGGTTAATCCGGCCCTGCTGGTGCAAATCATTAACTCAATAATAAAGATGGCACATAGAATTGCAAAATGCAAAAAGTCTCTACCATCGGAGAAGAATTCATTCTACCGGCTGCTGTAGGTATGGTGAACATTATAATTGTTGAGTCTTCTGGGAAGCAGCTTCCAAAAGTGCCTTTGTCCAATAACACCATTAGTGGCGGAATACAGCACATAGCGAAGGACCTGTAATGTTCAGTTAATTGAAAAAAATAAAAGGGAAGGAATTTGGGTTGCAACTGGGTGAGGGCATAGATAATAATAATGATGCTCACTTTGTTTGCTATGTACTGTATAGTTTGTAGATAGTAATAACATTGTAGAAGACGTTCTCTTTTGTAAAAGTATCACTGCAGGTGCTAAGGCTCACGACTTGTTCGATTACATGATATTTTTATATCGGAAAATAATTTGGAGTGGATCAAATGAGTTGATATCTGTACTGATAGTGTTCGTTCTATGTCCGGCTGTTGTGAAAAATTGCGAGCACTTATAAGAAGCAAAGCCCTTGATGCACTGTGTTAGTCACTCGCATCAAAATATATTTGGATTTAGCAAAGGCGACGAGAATCGAAAAAGTTTGGGAACCACTGCTGTAACCCATAGATTAGGGACGGATGGCCTGGCGGCTAAGGTGCAGCCTCCCGCTCTGAAGGACCCGGGATCGAATCGTGACGGATCAAGTAATCCTCAGGAATTTTTCGGGAAGTGGTCCGTCCGGATATGTCGGGCCCTTGTCTTTCACCACCGGCTGCCCCATTGTGGGCCTGGCCGAACCCATAATGGGCTTGCTAACAAAGGACCTAAGGCCTTTTTAGTGCTTAAAGGAAGGAAAGAGTTATTTAAACCCAGATTAGAGAAACATATGTGGAGTAGCCGCTACTCCGGGTTTTCTCATCTAGTCTGTGGGTTTCGGGTCTTATTATAATTTCTTCGGGTTGTACTGATTTTTAAACATTAATTCCACTATATTTTTAGAAAAATAATATCCAAGTCATTTTCGCAGGCAAAATATTCAAAAAACAATAAACGTATTAATGCAAAAATCAGTTTTACTTCCTTTTTCGATTCCGCGATTGTAATGAATTCGTATAACGAGAAAAAATAATAAAATCGTTTTATTATTAATTAATAATTTTCTCATTGTTTTCAATTAATTAAGAAAATATTAAATATTAAAAAAATACAGTATTTTTAAAGTTAAAATAAGATTAAACTAACGAAAACCAAAAGCAAAGTGATGGAGAGATAGGA